GCCACGCCCCCCCCCCCCCCGCCACCAAAAAAATAAAGTAGTTGGTTAGAGTGAATTGAGAGAAGAAAGAAAACTTCCTGAATTGAGAGAGTGCTTAATGGGTTAAGCAAGTGTTGCAAAGGTAAACCTAGAAAATAGAATACCTTTCTTTCATAATTGCTTTGTAACTTATGTTTAAAAACAAAAAGAAAAGAGAATTGAAAACTTGTGATTTGAGCACTCTGCTATTGAGTGGCGGGGGTGCTTCAGCCACAGGATCCAAATCTCTAGCTTGTGTGTGATGTGGTAGATGGAGGACTGTGATAAGAGGTGGCACCTCCCTCATGTCAAGTCAGCTTATGGCTTGGCCTCAATGTCTTCAGCTATAAAAAGACTAAGGCTCAGATGAGATGGTGAGAATACAATAGTGAAGAAGCTTCAGGTTTGCTATGGAAATGTATCCACTCACCCTTCTCTCTCTTCTGTTTCTATCCTAGTAAAATGATTTATAATCATTAATTTCCACTTTGTCAAACTTTAAAATGTAAGGTGTAGGTCTATTTATATGAATATACACTAAGTATGTTTTCCTGTTTTTAAATGTATTTCTAATTGTGCAGTCAAACAATAAGGTAAAATAAAAATTGTATTTTAAAAAAATAGCCCTTTTGATTTTCTCCTATTAGTGGCCATTTAGGTGGATTGTCATTTTTGCTTTTAGAGTTAGTGCTGTAGTAATAATCATCATTGTACATGTCTAGGTGTATGCAATAAATATTTCTGTAGGTAGTTATCTAGAAGTGAAGTGCTGGTTTAAGACCATGTACATTTTATTTTAAATCACCACTGAAGAAGTCTGTACTGACTTATGTTCCCACTCTCACCAACAGTTGATAAGAGTAGAGACTTTGGAATGAGTCAGGCAGAGTTAGGTGTTGGTTTGAACCAAGGTCAGGGATGATATGAGAAATTGAAAGCAGTGGAGTCCAGAAATTTTAGAGGCAATGTGTAAAATATCAGTAGCATTTATTGTTTTCTTTCTGTTGCTCATTTGTTTCACAAAGTCTCCATTGATCATGCAGAGTTCACCATAAATTTTTGTTGATCATTATATGAAATAATTTGTAATACATTTTTTTCTAGGGAATCTGGAAACCCAGGAAAATACCAAATCCAGATTTCTTTGAAGATCTGGAACCTTTCAGAATGACTTCTTTTAGTGCTATTGGTTTGGAGCTGTGGTCCATGACCTCTGACATTTTTTTTGACAACTTTATCATTTGTGGCGATCGAAAAGTAGTTGATGACTGGGCCAATGATGGATGGGGCCTGAAGAAAGCCGCTGATGGGGCTGCGGAGGTTTGTGCTTGCTTATTTCTTGCATGTTTCTGTCTGTTACTGTAAGTAACTTTTGTGAAAAGTTATCTTGTAGGGTTTATCTTTTCCCTTATTCGGGAATATTGGCATAGAAGGTCTAACTGTATACCTGCTAAAGACAAAATAGTGGGTTTTGGGACATGATTTTATTAGTCTATAGTGGCTTTAGAGTCTCTATTTGTGTTACATGGAGGGTATGTTTTGTAATTATTGTGTCTGTGTGTATAGTATAAATATCTGAAAATTTACCATTTAGGGTATGTTTTAATGCACTCTTAAATGTTCAGTCTTGGTTTACCCAACTTATGGAATTTTCAAACAACTGGTCATGTGGATGTGGCCAAACTGGGGACTGGAGAGCTAGAGATACTAAGATCAAGAAATTCTTCATTCCCTGGTTTATGAGGTTAAAGGAGACTTTTGCAGGTGATTAAGAAGCCAGCTTCTTGCACCTATGAAGTTGAAGTCACCTTGATGATAAGGAGAGCAGGAAAATGGAGGCCTTTCTCTAATTTCCTTTTTACATTGTAGGAACATCTTGGCTTGAACCCTTTGAAAAAGGAAGAGCCTGAGTAGTGCCATGCCATAATTGAACAGTGGAACAAACAATGCAGGCTATATTTGGTGTCAAAAATCAGAACTTTGTCTTGTCTTGTTTTTCAGCCAGGTGTAGTGGGGCAGATGATTGAGGCAGCTGAAGAGCGCCCATGGCTCTGGGTGGTCTACATTTTGACTGTAGCTCTGCCTGTCTTCCTTGTTATCCTCTTCTGCTGTTCTGGAAAGGTATGAATTTTTTTGGAATTACTTTTAGAAAGAATTCTTGTAATGTTAAAAAAGAACTTCGTATTGCTTAAGGTTTTCTATGTAGCAGTTCAGTAATGACTGGGCCACATTCAGTTGATTTCTGAAACACTTGTGGTGCAGATGTATTCACTACTCCTCAGGCCATTTATTGTGCCTGAATGAGAGTAGGATTTATAACCCCTTGGTTACTGGAATTATTTAGCCCACTTTATTACTCTCCTTAATATTTGGCAGCAGCTTTCTAAAAAAAAATATTTATATACTTAGATATTTTCAGGCTAGGGCTCATACCCTTCAAACTCTTTGTACAGACTGGGTCACCAGATCCCTCACAATGCAGGTCCTGAGCTAGGTAATTGGGAAAGATCCTGGGAGCCGTTGGCAGACACGAGCTCAGTCCTCAGCTTCCTCAGCAGCAGCAGTGGTGGCCTCCCAGGGCATCCCGGGGGCCCTCACAGCAACATTAGCAGCTACAGCCTCCAGTAGTAGTGGCGGCTTCCTCGGGGCATCCCGGGGGTGGGGGGCGCTGTGGGCCCAAGCCCCTCATCCTTTATACTTAAGTCCGATAACCCAGGACATCTGGTCGCACATACATGATTACATTACACAATCACCAAGGAACACCTGAGCACATGTGCATATTTACATCAAATGCTCGGCAAGATTCCAAACCGCTTGAGGGATCCTGACCGTTTATCTTCACTTTCCCTACAGATATAAAACCAGCCATCTAGGCACAAACCAGCTTTCCTCCTGGCATAGCTACTTCTATTCTTATGCTTCATAATTTGATCATTGATTTTTCATTATCCATTCCTCCCTTACTGTTCCCACCCTCCCAAGACAATAAATGTGGGGGTACCACAGCCTTATTGTTAGTTTTTCTTATTTAGTCCTTGTTGTATGCAATCAGAAAAAAAGAAAATCTTGTTTAGGCTATTTCTGCTGAATGAGGATTATACTTTACATTTCATTCAAAGCATTTTGTAACTGGATCCACCACTGTTCTGCGTATCTATGCCTCAGTCAACTATTTTGTTTAGACCTGTATTTTACTACCTGACTGTTTTGTTCTTACTGTTCCTTATACCTTGAACTCTGCTCCTGCCCGCCCCCCCAACTCTCACCAAAGAGAAAGTTCTTTGGGCTAGGAATTACATCATACACATTTCTATATATCCACCCCTATATAAAGCCTGGTTACAGAACTTTGCCCAAAGGAATTCAGTAGTTACATGATAACATAATACATGAAAATACAGAAGTGGACAAAATTATTGTTCTTTGGGGAATATTTCAGAAACAGTCCAGTGCTATGGAATACAAGAAGACTGATGCTCCTCAACCAGATGTGAAGGAGGAGGAAGAAGAGAAGGAAGAGGAAAAGGACAAGGGAGATGAGGAAGAGGAAGGTGAAGAGAAACTTGGTAAGAAGTAGACTCCCAAAAATCTGTTTTAAGCCAAGACCCTAAGATGTTGTTTCAACCCCTTACAGTCAAGTCACAGCAAAGATTGTTTTAGATCTAGAGATGTGGCCTAATGCTAATTGTCTAATTTACCAAAAACAAATGTAAGGTTTTGCTCAGTTGTTTTACTTTAACTTTTGTCTTAGAAGAGAAACAAAAAAGTGATGCTGAAGAAGATGGTGGCACTGTCAGTCAAGAGGAGGAAGATAGAAAACCTAAAGCAGAGGTAAAAGAAAGGGGTAATACATTTTGTATCTCAAGCAACTAGTGAAGTTGAAGTTACATTTAAGTAAAGGGAGTCTTTTTATAGGGTAATTTACAGTGGCTGTGGCAGTAAAAATTGTCAGAGCCAGTTTTGTTAAAGTGGGACTCTTATTGATACATGACAATATTTTTAAGTTTTATTTTTTTATTTTTCACTTATTTTTTCCTTAGAAGGTAATATCCATCGTCAACATTTTGTTTGATGATTTAAGCTATGTTAGAATCTTAAAAGTACTTTTCTGTGATGAGAATGGTTTCTGAAATAAGCAGAAGGTTATAGGGGAGAAATAATAAAATGCTTTCTAAGACGGAACTTCAGGTTATTCAATAGTTCTGTTTCATCTACCTCTCCTCGCTGTGCCCTTAAAAATGTTTCTTTCACAAGTCATTAAACTCTTTGTTCCTGTTGTCTGTGGATTGATTAATTCATTCATTTAACAAATATTTGCTGAGTTCCCATTATGTGCCAGGCATTGTCAGTGAACAAGACAGAAAAAGACACCCTGCTTTTGGGGAGCTTAAATTCTAGTTTGGTGACGGGAAGATAATAAATAGTAGACATTGTAAGGAAGTAAACAACACAGTATCTTAGGAAGTGATGAGCTATGAAAAATTAGGACAAGAAAAGGTAGTGGAAGTGCTGGAGGTAGGGTGGGTTGTAATGTTAAAGTTCTCATTGTTGGGCCGGCCCAGTGGCGCACTGCTACAGTGCGCCGCTTGGGAGCGCGGCGACGCTCCTGCCGAGGGTTCAGATCCCATATACAGACCGGCTGCTCACTGGCTTGAGCGAGGTGCCAGCGCAGCACCGAGGGTTGCGATCCCGTTGCCGGTCCCGGTCCGGTAGGGGCGCGACACTGAGGGTTGCGATCCGTTGCCGGACACGGAGCTATGAAAAATTAGGACAAGAAAAGGTAGTGGAAGTGCTGGAGGTAGGGTGGGTTGTAATGTTAAAGTTCTCATTGTTGGGCCGGCCCAGTGGCGCACTGCTACAGTGCGCCGCTTGGGAGCGCGGCGACGCTCCTGCCGAGGGTTCAGATCCCATATACAGACCGGCTGCTCACTGGCTTGAGCGAGGTGCCAGCGCAGCACCGAGGGTTGCGATCCCGTTGCCGGTCCCGGTCCGGTAGGGGCGCGACACTGAGGGTTGCGATCTGTTGCCGGTTACGAAAAAAGACAAAAAGGAAAAAAAAAAAAGTTCTCATTGTTGAGGTGATATTTGAGCAAAGACTTGAAAGAGATAAAGGACTTTTTCAAGGCAATGTCAGTGGGAAGAACATTCCAGGCAGAGAAGACAGCCATTACTGAGGCCTAAAGTGGTAGTCCAAAAGGTCAGTATGGCAGGGAGGGTGGGGAAGGCTCTAGATGAGTTGAATCCTCATAGGCCATTGTACAGACTTGAAACAGGCAGCCATTGCAGGCTTTGGGGCACAAGTGATAGCAGCCACAGTAATCAGATCTTGTGTTTTCTATCAGGGAGAATCAAGGAGACCAGATAGGAGGCTCCTGCAGTGACCCTGGCATGGTGATAGGAGAGGAGGGCGTGAGTAGTAGTTGGTTCTGGATCTGGGTTTTGTGGTAGATTGGATATATGGGGTATGAGAGAGAATAGTCAGTGTCCACACCTCTGCTTGGTAAGATCCCTTTTTATAGCACCTCTGTGTTTGAATCTGGATCTTCCTGCAAAGCTTTACTCAGGTTCCGTTTCCATCCACTACAGTTCTGCCTTCCTAAAAGGTCTATGCTGTTTGTGTTTTGCTTATATTTTCAGTGGATATATTCTGTCTTAACTAGAATGCAGTTCTTGAAGGTAGGGACCATATCTCACATGCTTTTTGTATCTCCCAAACTGCCTCACACGATAAAAAGTTGATGGTACATTTAAGTAAAGGGAATAATTTCAGAGAGTAATTTACAATCTTAGGAATTTATGATAGATTAGGAAGCGCACCCGGCTTGTAGTCTACTTGGATAGTTTTTGATCTTCATGAATCCTAGGTTTCTCATCGTCAAAATGGGACTGATGTGCCATAGGCCAGTAGATTATCTAGGATTAAGCAAGATAATGTGAAAGCACAGTGTATGATCCTTTTTTAAGGAAATGTTTATGGGTTAGATTGAGAAAAGTGCATGTTTATGGAAAACAAAAAAGATTGAACTAAATTAGAATACACATAATCCAACCACCTCTGAGACAACCATTGTTTTTGGTGTATTTTGTTTTAATTCTTTTTCTTTTTTTTTTTTTTTGGCAGCTAGCCAGCACGGGATCCAAACCAAACCCTTGACCTTGGTATTATAACACCGAGCTCTAACCAACTGAGCTGACCGGCCAGCCCCTAATTATTTTTCTAACCTTGTTTTTTCCTCAAATGGGTACCCTCAGCCTGCCTGGCTAATCTTGAAAATATGGTGAACTTCTATTTTTTTTTTAATGTGCTAATTATAGTGAATTTCTTTTCTTTTCAACCAATAGGAGGATGAAATTTTGAACAGATCACCAAGAAACAGAAAGCCTCGAAGAGAGTGAAACAATCTTAAGAACTTGATCTGTGATTTCCTCTCCCTCCCCTTCTCTTTCAAGTGTGGTCCTAGGAGAGGACCTGGCACACCTTAGGTTGAAACTCAGAAAACCTCAAGACGTCACCATCAACAGGTTCCAGTCAAATACTAGTATATGTAATTTTCAACATCTAGCAGTAAATAATTGCAGTTACAACATGAAGGACCCTGTTTCTGTAGAAGAGAAAACATTTAACATAATGGTTGTGAAATGTAACATGAAGCAACTAACTTGTATTTTTTGTTTGTTTCTAAACATCTTTGTTTTTTAAAATAGAATGATAAAACCTTGCCAATCTTTAAAGTCTTGGCTTAATTTAATATATTAATCTGTTCGTGCAGAAATAACATCAACATTTAGAAATGCTAGGGGGTTGAGTTGCAGTTTTTGTAACATTTTTTCTTTAAGTTTGATATTAAAAAACATTCAGGTGTTTCCCTTAAAATTGATAGTCATGTTTAAAGTACAGTCATTTGTGATTATAATCTTGTTTTGCTTGCTTCCATTACTCAGTTCCTCCTATGGAAATTGAGGAGAGGTATTGGATGGAAGCCCAAATTTATAAAAAAGTTCCATTTAAGTTGTATTAAAAATAGAAATACAAAAAGGAAAAAAAAATATTTCACTTGATGTTGGTTAGACCATAAAGTATGTTCTGTTGCCCTTGGAACTGGTCAGTTCCCAGACAGCATTGCAATTAGCGGCACTTGGGCATTCATACTCTACACACAGGGAGCATGGAGCTACAGCCTTCTGGAGTAGGTGGCTTTTTGAGGAATGCTAGCAGGACATGTGAGCTCCAGAGTAGATGTTTTCATCACTTCTTCCACTGTTTTAACACTGTTTTCTTACCTATTTCCCCAAATTCCCAGCTTTTTCCTCTGCTATGCATTTTCTTCACAGCGCAGCTTTGCAGTTCGTTGCTAAGAATGATTGATAAGCTCTGCATAGTGTTAAGCTTTATTGTGATTATGTGTGTTTCTTCTTTTTTAAAGCAGGCTCACAACTTTCCAGGGTCAAAGTACAGAATGGAATACAATCTTTCATTTTTATCCATTTCTTTTACTCTGTTTAAAGACTTCAGAAGTCTAATACAGAGGCGAGCCAATTCAGAATTGACTATAATTGAACACAGGCTAAAAGTATTTATGGGAGGAGTAACATATAGCATGAGTTATGATTTTTGTAGCTGCTAAATATTTTAAGCCTTCATTTGCAGTTCATGTAACAGTTGTGTCTTAAATTACACAATAAAGGAGTCCTATTCAATTTTTTTAATGTGGCTTGTAGAATTTTTTTAAAAGCGATCTTAGGTTTGTTTTTTCATGTCGAATGCAGATGGGTGCTATCAGAGCCTCTCCCCCACCATTATAGTGTCATAATATCATTATTACACCACACTGAAACATTCAGAATTAGATGTTTTAGCTTCTTTCTTTCTTCATATGTGTTTCAAATGTACCGATGATACTGTTTCTTGCACTGAATATATAAACACTCCACAGTGTTTATATTGGGGAGATATTAGGGCAGAACTACATTTGTAAAAGATGAAGGCTTATAGCCATTTATTTTGTCTTTTTTTTTTTAAACACTGGTTCTCTCAAGTTCTTTTGAGGGTGGCATGCATTTTTCTTGTTCAGTGCTTTATTCTTTTCATCTGTTGTTCTGTGGTCACAGTGACCTTAGCTATAGAGCAGACTTTCCCAAATGTACTGAGTGCAAATAAAGTTACTTAGCAAGACCTGAAAATATGTCTGCAGGTTTCTCCTTGAAGCAAATGTGTGTGATCACTGCATTTCCAGAAATCTGCCTTCTTTACTGTCCATTGATGTTATCCCTCACTTCCAGCTGAGCTGTGAAATGACAGATTTAAATAATAGAGTGTTCATTGCCTGTCTAGGACTATTTAGCAAAGTTTGTTCAAAACAAAAACACCTTTTCTTGGTTCTTGTATTCAGTTTTTGTTGAAGGTGCAGCCACCTGATTAAATGTCTGACATATTAATGAATGATAGCAGTAATTTTCAGCTCTTAAAAAGGCACTTATGATTTTACATGCTGGTTACCTGTCCCATTGTTGTAAAATGCCCTCTCTCCATCAGATGTATTCCTCAAATTTTCTTATCCACAAAGTACTCTGCTTTTTTCAAATTGTCACGTTACTAAATGGTGTTACATTAAAGCCCTGTCTTAAGTGTCTGCTTTTGACTGAACTTCTTCACAGTAACCTTCAATGTGTGTGTTTTACTGTTTCAATACTGGGTTAATCTTCCTTTAATTGGCCACTACATGAGAAAGTGCTAATATGCAGAAACTATTATGGACAATGAAATAATTACTTTATCTCACCATATAACTTTGATTCAGTCTTTTATATTTAACTATTGCCTTCTCTTCCTGCTCAATTGTGGTTCAGTAGTTTCTTTTGTATAATAGGGACAGGAACTCAGGAAAGGGGATGCAACTCCTAATTTGTAGATAATATTAAGACTTATGAAAACCATCCAACTCTTATTTATTTTATTTTTGGGTGGCTGGCTGCTACTGGGATCTGAACCTGTGACCTTGGTGTTACCAGCACCATGGTGTCTCAAGTGAGGTAATCGGCTAGCCTAAACCTTTAAATTTTTATTAGAAAATAATCTTTGTTCAGAATCAGACTCCATATTTTACATATACGTACATATTTCAGGGATAGTTTTGAGTTATGCCAAAAGTTTTTTATAAAGTGCTGTTAAGCTTTTAGATTGCTTACTGAAGAGAAGTACACAAAATGTAGTGCTCATAGTTACTATTATTTTTTCTATTAAATAATTTCTTTAATTCTGGTGTAAAATTTCTATGTTGGACGACTGGTAAAAAGTACTGCATTCTGGCTTTCCTGAGTCCTAGGCACTTTTGCCTTGGTTACCCACTTCCTCCACACACAAAAATTCTAATTCTTAATAAAATGTTAGAGTAACACGTTTGGGTTGCTGATGTCTCTCAGTGTGCTGCCGCCTCCAGCACCTCGTTTAACCTTTTAGCAGCTAGGGTGCTAATTAGGTGCTAACCTGTTCCTAATATCTTGCCCCCCCACCCACCCACTCTCTAGTTTTAGTATTAACACTAATTCCTTGCTCCTGTGTTTTTTCCTTACAGTTCCCCCAACCCCCTTTGCCTACTAGTTATACTAGAGCATAACTCGTTTCATTGGATTTTGTAGAGTGACTCAACTTTTAGATGTAAAGCTTGCAGTCCAAGTGCCGTTTGTGATTCAAGCATCATCCTTTGCGATTCCAGCCCTCGTTAATGATACTGGACTCTGCCTCACATTTGGGCTTTTTTTTTTTTTTTTAAATAAGGCAATTCTGAACTTTTGAGACTTGTTCAGACTTGTAAGTAAGTGGAAGTTGACAGTCCCGATGATTCAGAACTGTGCAAGAGGAAACCTCTACTAGCTCACTCGTGGGCAATTCTGACCAGTTATGGGGCTGTATACAAGGAATGAGGTCAAAGACAAACGGCTGACGTTGAAATAGTGTGATTACTTTGAGCTTATCAAAGCCAAATTCAAAAAGGTAGAACTTGGTCAACCGCTGTTCCGCCAGGCGGGCGTCCGGGTCTGGCTAGTTACGCTGCACGGACTGGTCGGATTTACCCCGCTTTCCTCGGAGGACCCGGAAGGGCCTTCCTTGACTGGGCGGTGTTTAGGAAACCTCACCTCTTGGAACGGGCTCCTGTCAGTCACATCTAACTCCGTCTCCATGCCTGAGGCCCGCCCAGGGGCTTCCCTCCGCCCCTTGCTTGAGAGTTCCTTTTAAATACCGCTGGGGAGACTAAGCGTGCCTGTTACGTGCTCATCCCCCCCTCCCTCGGCTGTCTGTTCTTCCATCTCTGATTGGCCAGAGCCCCTGTTCATCAGCTATGACGCTCGAGGTCGCCGCGGAGGCCCTGCCCTCTTCCGAGAGCCCTGAAAACAATTTTAAGATGGCGGCGGCGGTGGCGGCGCGGAAAACAATGGGCCCGGGGCGGCGGGGACACGCCGAGGCCTGAGGTGGGCAGCGAGGGCCAGCCCGGGGTCAGGCCAAGCGGGGTAGGAGGGAGATACGCCGCCACGCGCGAGTCCGCTCCGCAGCCCGCGGGGGCATGGCGCGGCCGTGAGGCGGACGGGGGCCGCCGCGGGGAGCGGAGCCCGCAGTGCCAGCCGGCCCCGAAAGGCCCGGCCAGTGCAGCCCACGTCCCATGGTGCAGCCCA